ACTGTAGACGAGATTACATCTCTCAAACTCGAAGATGTTCAAAATCCCTTTCTTCTTGCTTCGTTCGTACACGTGAGATTAGCGTCCTGGGTAATTCGCGAAGTCGGTAGAGATGGAGAATAGAGAAGGGTACAGGGAGATGAAGGACGCCGAGAAGAGGGTACAGAGCGAAGAAGCGAGAGGGAAACGAGACAGAAGAACCAAAGTTTCGCCGTGAGGCGCGACGTCTTGTCCTGAGTAAGTTTCTTCAACGAGGTACCGAATCTTTCGTACCTCACACCCCATTGGCGCATGTGAGAAGCGAAAAAGGGGGAGTTGAACGGGCGTATATATAACGAAATCCATGGGACTTCCTCAGCAGTTCGCCGTTGAACTTCCGCGTACACGATGTGAGTTTTTTTTTACACAAGAATGAATTCTCCAGGGGAAAAACAATCTCGCACAATGCATGCGGAGATATATAACATTATGTCAAAGAATAAGTGCATTTCCTGTTAAAGAGATTTAACCTTATATGCAGATTTCGTAACTTGAAAGCAAAGTGTCAATGAATATTAATCACAGAATGTACATGAATCGATTATTATTATTACACTATACATTGAATATTTCAAGTATATTTGCGAATCTGACATTTTTAATATGTCTATGTGTTTCTTCAATTGAAAAACAAAATACTGACAAGTATAGAGAGAGTGCCAATTTACATATTATTTAATTACAATATATTTGATTCTAAATATTATTAAGGGAATTCTAAAGTGTTGAAATTAACAAAGAGAAAGTTCTCAAAATTGACTGTACATATTATAAAATTTTACAATTGAAATACGCATAAAACAGATGAGAGATTTAATTTAATAAAAAAATTAAATAAAAATTAAATGATTACATTTAGAATAACTATAATATATATTATATATTTTTTTAAAACTTTTTTTGATCTCGTTAAATCGTCTGTTTCACATCTTTTATATTTTAATATTTTGTCATAATTAATATAAATGTTAATTGCAAAATGTATAGTTGTACACGGAAAAAAATTTACTAAAGTATCTAAAATTTTGGTTCAATACAGATCTGAAAATAATTTTGTTAGGCTATCAAAATATTATAATTATGCAGCATACACAAATTAATTGTTAGAATACCAAAACTTTATGCAGTATTGCTCATCGTGAGATTTCGATGTATAATTAACAATTCAACAAAAACATTTTTTCCGTAAAGAGTAGATATATCAAGAAAAACACATGATTTTACATTATTAATGTAACTAGCTAGCTTTCTATTATAAAACGACTGAATAAAAAACATATACTGAAATGATATCATATCAAATTAGTGACATCATGCAAGCTATAATGCTATTCTACCATTGTGTTGTGTTATATCGATGCTACATATATAAATCGGATATTCTATACAAACGCGAGCTATTCAGATGAAAAAAAAAAACGAACGTAGCGGAAAATACCATTTTTGTGGTCGCTTTTATTTTCTGTAAATGTCACAGTCTTTTATAGAATGCTGCATGCGACCGGCGCTTATTAAATGTTATCGGGCAAACGTCATTGAAAATAAAATGAACGTACCGCTTCCGCGCCGGAATATAGACCACCGGTCTTTTCAAAATAAACAAATATGAGGTGAACCGAGCTCCGGTAGCTTAACAATACAGAGGGTCGACAGATGCGAATAACATTTAACGAAAAATGTCAAGGGGCTAATACACAGCCTAGCAGAAGTGATTACGATACCGTCATATCTAACACGCGCGTACAAGCTTTGATAAATGCCGCTATGTGTTAAAATCGAAATTTTTATATGTTCCGCAATCTACATTTCCCCGTCCTTCTGCGATTTATTAAATTCACGCTGCTGGCAACCGGTCAAATCGTATACGGAATTGAATGCGCGCGCGTTAATTTTGTTTCGCGTACAAATGGCTTTCCTTTATTTTCACAAATTGCGAATGTATGTACGTATGTACGTACGTACGTATACTTCGACAGCTGGAAAAGAGATTACCCCACATTGTGTGTCAAAATGTTTTATCGATGTCGACAACAGAATTTTTATCAGTATGATGACTAATGGATTTCGTCTAAAATTTAACTTATGGAAAACATTTTTGGGAGGGAGATTGCGGAGAACAGTTACTGATAGACATTGTATTGTTAACAATGGATGCTATAATATTGTGTACTTCAGCTTCGTATTACGTGTGATATTTCGGTTTACCGCAGCATAGTTGATTACCTATCTCGGAATAACTCTGGTTTACCACTGCATAGTTGATTGGCTATATCGAAATAACGCGAGTTTATCAATTCGATGCATTAAAGCAGCACACGCGTTACATGTCACGTTCGCCAGCATTGTCCAACGTTACGATAAGAAGTTTTCCGAGGCACCGCCATGTCGGCGAATTCATGAACATTCTTCGCACCGGTCCACGACAACATCTGCCAACCATTTCTTCAAGTCATCCATCTACTTTGCACCGCGTTTCACATATTAAACTTCAGTTCACTTCAACAGAAGAAAATCACTAAAAAATCTATGGGCAACATTCCTCTTTCATATTACATCGCGCAAATATTTTATATCTCTTCGCGTACGAAAGCTTACTTACGCAAAGAGATCTCTAAAATTTCTATCGAATGCTCCAAATCTTCCACGCTACACGTTTTATAATATTTTGAATATGAATATCTTGATCACTTTAGTGTGTTGAATTGATCTTAATATTTTGAGTGCTAGCATTTTATATTAACAATTTCAATAATTTAAGAAATTTTTCGAATATTTTTTCTTATAAGATTAGTAATTTAATTTTTATTTTTCCACATAAAGTGCAGAAATACATAAAAGCTAAGTTACATTTCTAAAATAAAATAAAATATTCAACAAAAAAATCCAAACGTTTCAAATATATTTAATGAAAAGAGCAATATTTAGAAAGAAAAAGATGCTCGATATAAAATAAAAGCTTATAGACTTCGGCAGATCGTATCAATTTAAATACTGTCTGATCGTACAATAGTGGAATGTGCCATTTATTAGCCAATAAACAATGTACAATATGGTACATAATAGCAAACAATAGGATTCATATATAGCGTCGTTTGTTTTTTCTAAAAGCAGGGAATATCGTATCATAAGCAAGATATACAATGGACAAAAAATGGCGTACAATGGGGCTTACGTGCTCGTCCCGTTTTCCCAGGACGAATTGCACAATACGCAAAAATCCACTAGGTATTTTCCCGACCGTCGGGCGAACGGAAGTATCCAATCACCCGTATTTTGAGCAGAATCCATTGGAGAGCCACATTCAAAACACCAGGATATAGATTATCGGTGGACGATACTTTTCGATTCCGCGATGTACGAATGTGATCATAAAATTGGGGTTGCCAATGGGGACACTGGGTAACGCGTGCATTGCATCAATGCAATCTACTGGTGTACACTGTTGCAGGTTCAAAGCTAGGCTTTAACTAGTTCTCGGTGCATGATACAGGATTTAAAATACGGTAGTAACAGAATTTGTCAGAATTATATTATACTTGTATAAGCAACTACGTGCATTTTTATTAAAAGATACGTTATGAAAAAAATATTTTAAACCAGAAATGTCAATTAGTTATGCCGCCGAAAAGTAAATACTCTTTGTAAAGAATCGATGAATAATTGACAAGTTATAAAATAGAAGAATTATAGAAGATAAGTTCTATTACACATAATTCAGTTTTGTTTAGTCATTAAAAAAATATCTTCATAGGAAATAATGTTTACAAAAAACTCAATTATGAAATTATAATGCACGTGTATATAAATGATTAACAATATAAATATTAAAAATAATAAAAAATTAAAATACTGAAACTTTTTGAGCAATGTTGACATTTTTAGAAATATGCGACAAACGTGACTTTTTTTTTTTTAATTCAAAGTACTCTATTCAGCAAATCTGTATATCCGATTTATCTGAACTATCGTGAATTATTTTGCATCCACAGGGAGAACGGCGAAAATCATCGAAAACGCACTAGCAACTCGACGCGTATACTTGGCGACGAAAGTTGGAACGCCGGCGGGTGCATTGAGCAAAGGGTGAAAGGACGGGTCAGCCGGCCGGAAGGTAATGGGAGCGTAGGTTATATCCGTGGCCGCTCAATTAAATCTCGTCGACGTCGCGTGCAGGAAAGCGAGCGCAGCGTGCATCGGAGGCTTCCTTACCGATTTCGAGTGGGTGGACCCTGCTCTCAGAATTTATTAGTCCGTGCGACCGACCGACTAATCTCGACTCGGTTAGCCCGAGCGTGTGCGACTATTACTCGCGGAGCGTGTGTTGGTTGATCGTAGAATCATCGAGATCAAAATCATGAATCATGAAAAGCACGAAAAAGCAATCATTTTGTCATATTCCCGCCCAACAATTCTTTCTGTTAAACACCATTACTAAGTTTGGTATAACTATCAATACGTGACAAAGGATATTCTAGACACTTGCTAACGAGGTTGTCTATAGAGATATTGTATACCGAGAAACCTGATCTAATTCTAATCGAACATAATCTAACTTGAACTAAACGGATTTGATCCGATGTGCGCTAATCTCGAATATTCGCTACGTTCGAAGTTTAATTCGAATTATCATTCAAGTTAGATAGATAAATCGAATACAGTGATGTAATACGTATAAAGTGCTGAATATTAAACTTAACGTTCAAAGAGATATTGAAGTCATAAATTATATGTAAAATTTTTTAAATTTCCATTTTAACGAAATGTGTGTGACATTTATACCATGTCATTCGCGACTTAATAGGATTAAATATAATAATATATGTATTCATTATCGTAGAAATTCTTTCGAGTTGTGAGGTTGAATCCAAGGCAAAAAGTAATAACTTATATAAGACGTCTAAGATCGATAGTTTTTAGGGCAATATGGAACACACAAATGGAAATAGAATTTTTATAGTTACCTCTTGCAGGTACTGGCTCGCGCATAGCCGAAAGGAGATGGAGTTCGCTTTGCCTTGAGTAGATGCCAGGTATCTCTGCGGTGCAACGTAGATTCAAACGACCGTTCGTGTAATGGAACGGTTGAAGGGTGAGACTGATCTCACTCCACTGCGTTCCCTCGTCTTCTTTCGTCCGCTGTTGCCTCGTGGTCGTTTCCACCTGCAACAAATCAAGCGTGAGTTGGAGAACGTGTGAACGTCACGAGAAAAGGAATTCGCGAACGCTAAAGGGTAGACGAGATGACTACGGTAAGGGTACCGTAGAAAGAGAGAGAGAGGAGAAAATGTAAATCTGCTTTCAACGAAATCCGTTCATCCGGAATTGGGAGGAGGTGAACTCCTGCCCTGTCCCTCCCATCCCACCTTTTCGTCATCCCGCACGTTCAACGGCGTACCGCGCTAAAGACGAGGGTTTCCACTTCGATGGAAAGTTAGAGAACCCGCTAACGTTCCTGCCATCGTGTTCCTGCCCGATTAATGTTCCTCCATTCCCCCTTTTTTCTTCTTGCGTGAAATCGCTTCTCGTCAAGCTGCGGCAGCAAAGAGCGAGCCTGTCGAAAGTATTGGCCGGAATGGCCGAGTTCCGGCTTTCTTAATGGATCATTATCGTCCCGGAAGTCGTGATAGCGTCGAAAGTAAGTTATTCGAGTGAATTGCAGGGTAGAGTGATTTGTAAGTGAATTGTAAGAAGTTTGTCTAAACTTTCATCAATGTAGAAGACAACAGATTGATGTAGATTGAGGTATGTGTGTGTATATAGGTATATATATATATATATATCATATATAGATCGTGATATTACATAATGTTTTAGAAAATATAATCTTTATAAGGTATTTTTCATTAAAAAATTATAATTGACATGATATAGAAAAAATGAATATGCTCCGAAGACACATTAGTCACGAAATAAATAATTATAAAATAATTCAGCAAACTTTCAAAAAAATTTACTTTTTAAATTTATCTATTTATTTTCTATTTAAATGTCAGTTAAACCGTAATAATCTTGTGCTTAATAGTTTCTTAAGTGATAATAATCTCAGTAATAACATAATTCTCGATTCAAAGCGTTATATATGCGCACCTGATGCCAACATGCTTCTAGAAGATAGTTGTTGCGAAGTTTAACAGCATTCGCGTCGAACCAACGGTAAATTACATAGAACATCTCGTATTATATAGATTATTAAGCCAACAGACTGTAGAATACGTACTAACATTTCAATCTCGAACATTACGTACGTTCGAAATTGCTTGGACAATCGAAATCAAATAGATATTTCTGTTGTGTGCGCTACACTTATTTCTTTTTTAGCAATAAGTAGAAAAAAGAACACTTAGAAATGCAAAGACATTTGATTTGATGTAATTACGAATAATACATAGAATCGAATTTCCGAATTATCTTCTCAAATAACGACCTATAGTAGTAGGTTGTAGAAATTGAATAATAGAAGATGACTTCTAATCGCGGCCAATCAAATGAAACCTAATAAGGCTAATTGAATGAACTTTGTAATGGAGCTACTACAATGTACGAATGATATTATAAAAACATAATAATCCATGATAAAAATATAATAATATCCTCCTGAAACTTTAAATTAATTTAACTTTGTTAAAAAGTTTTTCAAAGACAAACTAAGTATAAAAGAAAAGACTTTCCACTGTATCACCATATTATGCCATAAAGTTCACTTTTCAATTAAATATGCATAGCATTACCTATATATTTTTTTATTACAGTCTGTGTCATAAGTAAAAAGAATGGATAAAAATCGGCGCAAATATTTATGTGTATATTGCATTGTGTGTACGCTTGACACGTCAAGTTTAATGCTAGTTGCAACAAAGAATATCGGCGAAAACATGCAAGTATTATAGGAGCGCTTGCTGACTTTACATTTTCTCAACTGAGGAATTATGCAATTCGCGCGATCCAGTGTGATATATGGCGGAACGCGCAAAAAAGAATCTCGACCAATGATTAATGGCCGAGTAGCATTGATACTTATCCCCCCGACGCGCTAAGAGTGCGTCCAGCCGAATATAAATTCCGCTTTTTAAACAGCTATCCGTGAAATTCAATCTCGGAGGGAAGCGAAAGTGATTACAGCGGTTGAATACAGATTATGAGAAGGCGGTCGCTACGTCATATTTAAGCGCCCCGGATTTTCTTTGTAAGCATCCAAAGGAAGGCTATATCTCTTTTCCCACCGGCACACTTTCGTGTCCTGCGCGATGAAAAAATTAAAAAAAAGAAGACGTTTGAGTATACCTAACGGATCGTGAAATTTTCTATTATGAGATTAAATGCGCTAGTCTTACCGAAGAAAAGATCCACTAATATTACGTCGCATGATGTAATCAAAGCTTTGATATGACGCCATCATTTTCAATATAATGTCTAATAATTTCCTCACGCAAGTTCGAAAGAAAATTTGACTGATCTTGCACAAGCTTGTAAAAAATTGGACGATGTTTCAATTTGTTCTGAAATCAAACTGTATGATTCCACAAACCAATGGTTTGTAAGTTCGTAAGATCTCGCTAAAACTTTTCTCTCGATCTTTTAATTGCTTACTCTTGTCAAAAGTTTCATGGATGTACTTTTTTTAAGCCGCGTACCTTTTTATTTTAAGATTCTTTGGCAAATTTGAAGTTAATTCTTCAACGATCAAGATTTTTTTCTTCGAGATTTTTCGATCAGAACTTTTAATTTTCAATACTAAATCTTTTTGATATAGCTAAGTCTCAAATTAATATAAGTTTATTTATAAAATTAAAGAGATGTTGCCAATACATTTGCTTTTTTCAAAGTTAATTAGAAAAACTCTTTTAAAATTCATTAAAGTAATAATTCAGGTTAAAACAGATTTTCTGCATTTATGTTTCTTATAAAATTACGGTTTAATAAATACATTCATCGTACTATAATTATAATAATCTTCAAAGATATATTTTATATAAATAATTTGCTTAAATATTTAATAATCAAAAATATTTGTAACAAGTAAATGTTGCAAAGTATTACCTAGATAAATTTAGAAAATAGAAAATTACAAAAAATTCATCTTTTATATCAAGAATGCCGAGATAGAAACGCTAACGATGTTTACTTCGCATGCTCAACCGCATTCTCAAGAATTTCCACATTCTCGCAAAGCCTACATAGGGTTAGGTACATGTAACTAACACTACGTCTAATCTAAGTTAAGTAATCGAGTGAGAAATTCGAAACTAAATTAAAGTGAATGTATCCAGAATACTTTTGATAAGATCACGGAAAGTTTACATTACAGTAAACAATTAAGTGAAAATAGCGTGACAAAAAAACCATTTATATTTCTCAATTCTCTTAAAATAGAATATTTGAAGATATGTGTGATAAACTTTAAATATATTTTGTCATAAAGCTCTCTTTTTGAAATCTTATATAAAATGTTATGTTTCAGTTATCTTTTAGATTATGAATGAATTATGGCGCGCGCGCGCAAAAGCAAAATTCTCAGCAAGATTACAGTTTTATCCAAGAGAGATTTACTTAAAATTGACTAAGGAATACGTTTATTTATTTCTATTTTTGTAGAAGCTTAATTTTACCTCGAGATTCTTTTAATCTTTAATATTAATCTCTAAATTAGATCGCACTTTTTAATCTCAGAAGAGAAATTATTTTCACATTCATCAGATAGAGAGAAAGAGAGAGAAAAATACTATTAGACCGTTGATTCAAAGCATTTTTTGCAGAACAGCTTGCATTTTCTAATTTCATTATTCGTCATCTGAAAATGGAATTCTTTCTTTCCTTGCTATTCAAGGCGTAGATTACCAGAAATACAGCAGGAAACCCGCTGCGCAGCAGGCCATTACAGAGCTCTGCACGGTGCGAACACGAGCGAGATATGAAATCTCAGTAATGCACATTTAATTGCACGTGTAGTACTTGTTGAATCGATGCGCGCATGTATCTGAAAACCAATATATTCGATTGATATCGCGAACGTGAAATCCGATTGGTATCGAGGAAATACGACCATCTCCATGGGGACTGAAGTAATGCGAAAATAGATAAAAACATCTTCGATGTACAGGTTAAATGAAATTTTTATAAAAAAATGATCTAAAATAGATTTATTTTATCTGCTACAAAAAAGTCTATTTTTATAATATCCTTCATATTTTAATCACAAATGTGCGAGAGACTTTATAAGATATAAATAGCAAAAAGATAAATTTTCGCTTAACTTTATTGAACGAGATCATGAACAAGATACAAAGCATACGGATTAAATTCTCATGCAGTTTAATTAATTTAAAAAAATCGTGAAAATAGTTATAATTTTATAGGGCGACCGAAGAAAATTGATGAAAAATCAAAGAATGGATGGCTCACAGAACGACTACAATGCAGTTATATAGGAATGACAAACGATGTGGTTTTACGGTGCACCATGATAAGGTAAGAACTGTATGTACTTGTAACCATCACCGATGTTACATATCCTATGGCGCATTACACAGCGTGTGCGTCGCGTGGCGAGCGGCTTACCCTAAGTATCCTGCGCAATGCCCAACAATACACAATACCGCGTCGCGCGTGCTTAAATGCGCCTCGAAATCCACTGCAGTTCGAGGCGCATGCATCGCATTTAAGGGCGTAGCCATGCGAAACCTGTGCGACGAGACACGGGTTTATGTGCGCGAGGCTACGTCGGCACGACGTGATGCAAGAACGGGATACTTTTGACCTCGGTTATTCTGTGTGAACCTCACAAGTCTCTCCCAGGCACCTTTGAAGTGTCGCGCGGTTTTCGGTGTAACCGCTCGCTTATGAAATATAACCCTCGACCGCGCTCGCGTAGGTTAACTCATTTACGCCTAGAGGCTTTAACATCGTCTCGAAATGGGGTATTACGAGAAGTCTCTTGTCCGTTACGCCAGCTGCGTACTACTTCCCCTTTCTTTTCCAAAACAATAGTCCATGATCTTTTGTGTCTCATACATATTCGTTTTAATTAGTGGCAATTCCCTGAATGGCATACTTTCGAAATAATTCCGTACTGTACGTCGAGGTAAAGCAACGTGTACTCTTATTAAAACTGAATTCCTAATGCATAAAATTTCATAATATTTTCGCGTAGATAAGGATACGTT